TTACAGGAACAAAAGTTGGTAGATTGTTCTCTAACATATATTATCATAGTTGGTGATTATACCCGTCAGGTACCCCCTGATTTACCACAGTATTCTATGATTACTTTTACAGGAACAAAAGTTGGTTATAAACACCCTAGATATTTAAACAGGTTAGTTTCACATTGAGTAACATTATAAACTCCCTAGATATTTAAATAGGTTAGTCTCGCATTGAGTAACATTATAAACACCCTAGACTGGTTGTATCCCACTTTCTGCTCAGTTGTTCAAAGCTAGGGATCTGAGTCCTGGGGATCTTTCATCTGGCCTTTCAGCCAAACATACATAAAAGTGCCATCCATGTTGAAAGCCGCAATTAAATTCAAGTGGAGGGAATGAAAAGGAAGTCAGTTACTTTAAAAACAAACTGATCTACGCTATCAAATATATATGTCTATATCGGGCTTCGACAAATCCTGGGCGACTAAAAATTTCATCGTGTCGCCTAGTATTTCCCTCCATTTTATTCGCGCGTAGGGCTGTGCTAAGTAGAACTCGAATCTAGAACAGTTATGGACTCTGGAATTCTGGAACTATTTTCGTGTTCTTTGAGTCCAAAATCAAACTTTGTTTCTATGATTTTAATGTTGGATTCAGCACTTCGTGTTTTTTGTGTTTGTTGTTGTTTTTTTCAGGAATGAAGCGCTGTGGTTGCACAACACGTTAGTAATTTCGCGCCATTTTGTTTTTCATCTTTCTCTCAATTCAACCAATCAGTGCGTGTGTTTCGACTCAGACAAAGGCATTTAATTCAGGAAATGCTGCCAACTTGTCAAGTGGTTGTTGATATCATGTGATCGTTAGCATACACTCGTTGCCGTGAAATTAAATAAATATACATTTCTCGGTACAAACAGTAGTGAAGTTAGGCACACCTGGCTCCTGAGTTTTGGAGCTGGTTCCTAGATCTGAAAATATTTGTCGAGGCCTGATCCATATAATCTTAACTGAATAACTAAAAAATAAATAAAGCTTAACAAATATTGAAACGAAACTTTATATCAGTGCTAATAATGGCAACATATATATAGACAAATCTGATCCATAACAGCCATTCTAATTCTGCGAAAACCTACGTGACAATTAGCATTTTACAAATAATTTAGAAATATATACACATTATGAGTCCACTTGAAAACTATTGGTTAGACTTTGCACACCTGAGCTTAAGCATTAGGATATTGTACTGGGTGTTTAAGTAAATGTACGATCAACTATGAACAATATATGCTAGAGAACAATCTGTGTTACTCAATGTGAGACTAACC